TATTCACCTCCAGACCTTCTGTTGTGCTCTTCCCTTTGTCCAGAATACTCTTCCTCCTCCTCTTTAGCTAAATACAGTATAGATCTTAGCTTAAAAGCAGTTCACATTGGGAGTTCCTCTTGAATATGATTGGGGTCCCCATTCTGTTCCTCCCACAGTACCCTCCCTGTGCTTCCCCTGTCAGAACAGGTATCAAACTCAACTGTTAGCACTTTTTAGTTATCTGTCTTCCCCAGGGACTGTTGTTAGCACCCACAGAGCAGAAACCCTCTCTGTCTAATTCAGCATGGAAATCCCAGAACCTAACACAGTACTAAAAGCATGTAGTAAGTACATGCTTTTAAAAATGTTCATTGAAGGAATGAATCATATTTTATGAACCCCTGGATAAGTACTGAAAGAATATATGAAAATAATTAAATATCCTAATTTATTGAATCAGCTAATATGTGTGAAACAGCACATTGGAGTGTGCATTGTACATAGTAAACACAAAAATTAACTATTATATTGTTGTTGCTATTGTGAAGACAGAAATGTAGGTGATTTTTTATTTTTCGTTCTAGTTTGGTAATTTAAAGAAAAAACAAATGGATCTCTTCTTAAACGTTAAAGTAACAACATGACCTGGCCTTTTCCCATCTGCAGTGTTGTAGATTTGCCTTTGGAAACCGAAACATTCTTAAAAGTGTGAGTGCAGTGAAGAAGCCACTATTTCAATGTATGTCTCTTGTAAAAGATTCTTATCGTTCCTGCACATTTTATTTTTCCATTTGAACTATTAGTTTTATGGATCCCTTGGAAAATTATCTATAGAACCGTATTTTTTGTTTGTTTTTTGTTTTTTGATTAGAATGTTTGCCAGAAAAGACTAACCGATATACTTTTTTCAACGTAATTGAACTTGTCTTAATTAACATCTCATCAGTCTGGAATTATTTATAATACTTGGCTTTGTCTACAGGTTGGATTGGGTTCTTTCCAAAAGTCAAAATTACTGGGATCATTGACACAGGGTTGCAAGGAGGTCTGTCTGCAGTTTCATTACTAAAATTTTTTTTTTTTTTTTTGTCCTTTTTGTGACCGGTAAGGGGATCGCAACCCTTGGCTTGGTGTCGCCTGCACCATGCCCAGCCAGTGAGCACGCTGGCCATCCCTATACAGGATGCGAACCTGCGGCGGGAGCGCCACTGCGCTCCCAAGCGCTGCACTCTCCTGAGTGCACCACGGGCCAGCCCTCATTACTAAATTTTTTAAACGAATATATATAAAGTCAGAACTGTTTACAAAATCTTTCACATGAACCTCATGAAATATGGTTCATGCTGTTGGTTACACAGAATTAATGTGCATTGTGGCCTTGTGGCCTTGGTTTTCATCAGCTGAGCAGTCATTAGAAAGAAGAGGACAAAATACTGTCTTCATTGTCTCTACCTTGGTTCAGGCTTTCATCACTGCATTTGGAACTGGTGAGCTCAAAAGTGAGGGTGACCTCCTGTTGTCTTCAGGCACTTTTTACTTCACAGCTTCAAGAAGGGATGATGATTACTGAGAACAGCACAGCACTTAGGCATTGTCTGCAGGGACCTGACATTAGACTGTTCACTACAGAAGTCTTCACATAAAAAATAGCTTTTCATGAGAAAATTTAGTTTTAGATTTTAATTTACATTACAAATTTAAAACCATAGATACCTTTATCTGTGGGGAAATCTTAACTAAAAGTTGGTACCTAGATCCTCTTCAAATTGTATTATTTTCAGTATTATATTTTTAAAACCCCTTAAGATTCAATAACTGGTCAAAAGATCTTTTCTATATTATGTTTAAAGTACATCTCCGTTTTCATTCTTATCCAGTTTTATATAAGAAAACAGTTTATGCTTAAGGTTTCCATTTGTAGAGTTGATATGATATCTTAGGAATTAAGGGTGATTTTTAAATTTGCCCTATTGTATTTTTTAATAACCAGGACCTCCTAAATGTTTTTCATTTAGATTAATTTAAAGTTCCCAATTTAAAGGTAAAACCCATTAAGATGATGTTGTAGTCATGAACATATTGCATATGGCTTGTATGTTAAAATTCTAAATTTTATCCAAGTATATCTTTGGTTTATGTAATGCTGGAGAAAATAGGCATTTTATAAATAACGTACTGGTTAAGGAAATAAAAGTACTGAAAAGTTTGGAATAAGTGCTGTGTTTAAAGGTGATTGTGAAAAAATGTATTTTTTAAAGATCATGAATTAATGGAGATAATAACACCTTGGTTCTAATCAGATATATGAAATAATGGTATGTTTTAAAATTATCATCTCTCAATGAATAAATTAAAAACAAATAATTTTAATCCATTATTTCTGTTACTGCTTTTATATGGAGGCTCCGAAAAAGTTTTTTCATATGATAGTAAATTGGAAATTATATAGACTAGTTGTACTTTATTATAATATGAATGATTATTTTATCCATTATCTTAATTCTACTAAAGTTAGATTTTATATGTCTTTTCCTAGATGTTCTTGATCCAAATTTTATTATATCCAAAGAATCTTTTTACCAGTAGTTTGTTGTATGCTGATAATTGGTTTCTTTGGGCATACAAAAAAAAAAAAGATAGAATTTCATGTTCTTTACTTTAAAAGGGCCTTGGGTGCACGCTTCTTTAAGCTTTAGAATAAGCTTTAACAATCTCTCCACATTTCTACTCTCTGTTTATTGATATTCATTGCATTATCTTAAGATATACTTAACTGAATGAAATTTTATTGTCATAGTCTTTAATGGTAATTAAAAATAAACTATTGATAGAATCAGGTGAACAAGCTCTTTAACATTTAACATCAAATTGAGAGGGAAGCACTTTAAATTGGAATTGTTTCAAAATGCCATTTTAGAATCAGTTGGCAATATTAGCATCATCACTATTATATGAATGTATGCTAATGTAGGATGAAGGAAAGATCCTCATTAAAGGACAAAAACCTTACAAACAGCTCGAGGCTTCAGGCCAGTCAGTTACTCCTGAAGAGATTTGAACAAGTGTGAAAATATATAGACTATGCCTTTATTGTGATCAGAACACATAAATGCTATCATGCATCAGTTCCCTACAAAGGACATTTTAATTTGTATTAGGGAAGACAAATCTTAAAATAATACAATGCCTAAGCATTCTGTTGTGAATTTCTCAAGTCAGTAAAAGTATTAGGTTTGTTAAATTAAGAAAATAGACTTTTGATAATAGTCGTGTTTGTGTTTTCCAAAAAAGGATTGGGGTTTGGTCAACTAGCATATATTCATGTATCTTCCTTGTAGACATTATCTGGGTGAACTAGTCTGGTATAGGTATAAGGAAGTGACAGTTAATAGACTTTTTGATAGCCATGTAGCCACCCCTTAGCAATTCCAGTGGTAATGAGCTCCCTGTAAGTCTGCATTGCCTTTTGAGTTGTAGGGAGTCCTTAGTCAAAGGACACAAAGGAATTTCCCTTGGTTTGATTTGGTCCATATGCCCAGCTTATCTGCACAGAGAGGGACAACTAGGTTTATAGTTGGAATAAAGAAGATACTTGACTAGGTTCAGAGTCTAACAGACTGAGTTGGGAATGAGAGAGCAAACGGTGGGAGTGCTGAGACTAATGAAAAAGAAGCTAAAGGAAGCTAATCCTGTGTGTCTTTGAAGGGGAATATTACATATCACTCACAATTTCATGTGATCATGCACATTAATTATTTGAATTAAAGTCATTTCTTACATCCTTTGTCCTTGTTCCTGTTACACCAATATTTTCTGGAGTATGGTTATGATGCTGCAGGTGGATAGAAATTTTTATATGATAGGGCTGTTGTCCCAGCAAAGCCTCCCTAATAAGTTTTTTATGCATTTAACAGATCTCAATCATTTTTGGTTGCTTGTGGCTTAAAAATATTTTTGTTACATATTACAGGCATGTACCTTCATAGAGACTCCTGAAATTATCTGCTTGTTTTAAGATAATTATAAAAATTTATATTCCTCAGTTACTGGAAGGATAACACAAAGCTCAAGAAAAGAGGGGAATCTTGATAATTTTGTATTAAAGAAATTATAAAAGATATTGAGAAAACATATTTTTTTACATACAGCTTCTTTGTGAGGATGATGTCATATTTTAAGATCTGACATGGAAGTTGTTGGTTACTTACAGCAGATTAGAGGAGGCAGAGCCTGGAACTAGAGCCAGTGGTCAGAGGAAGAGCCAGAACAGTTCAGGAGAGTAGCTGAAAAGGGTGGGGAGCAAAGCACACTGTCCTGCGGAAGGGATAAGGTAGAACTGAGTCTGATGCAAGACAGAGTAGCAAGTGGCCCAGCTATGGGTGGAATGTGGGAGTGTGGGAGTGTGGAACCAGGCGTTTCTGGGTTAGTGGTCCTGAAAAGGCAGGATACCAAAGGGGCCAACACAATTTAAAAGGCAAACTACCATGGAAATTTGACAGAAAGCTATTTGAAATTTCTGAGGCATCTAGGAACTGACTTGGGAGTGAAATGGGGGTCCTGTTATTAGAAGCTCAGGCACGATGATAGGGTTATGTAAAAGAAAGGGGATGCCTTGATGCCATCAGGTGGGGGGATCCACCAGCTTTGCCATGTACTGAGAAGACACGCAGAGGCTGGACACCAGATACCAATATCTGGAAACTATTCCCGTTTGACTCTTACTTATTTCCCCTAGAAATTCTACTTAGTCTCTACATCCTGTCTGCCTCCACGAAGCCTCCTCACCCGTTGTCTCAGAAGTCCTCTTTCCGTCCTCTCAAATCTTATTTATCTCTACAAAGTGAACGGCATTCATCTTAGTTTGCCTTCTGCTGGTGTCCATGCCCTTTGTTGGGTATATACTGTGTGCCAAGCACAGTCTTGGTAATACAGGTTAAATGAGTGAATATTTTAGAGCTGTTAACAATTATATTGATGTAATTACAAGTAATTTTTTTCTTCCAAATATTTTATTCTAGATTTTACCAAATGTTGCAAAGATTCTGGATTCCTTATGGTAGTAAAGTGCCGGAAAGAAAATTCTGCATTGAAAGAATGTCTAACTGCTTAGTAAGTAGTTACTTCTGTGTTTGTGCTTGTGTGTGTGTGTGTGTAATAGGTAAGAGTATGTGAGTTAACTTATTACATGTAATGTATTCTGTACCTCCCTCCCCACCAACTTTGTCATATTGTTGGCCAAGTCTAAAATAAAATCTCAATATGTTGAGGATTATTCTTTAAAAAACAACATATTTATGAAATGGTCTTTTCAAGTTACGTTTGTCAGCATTGTAACTGATTAAAAATAGAAAGTCAGCAAACAAAAGTAAGTTATTTTTCACATGATTTAACAAATCCCTTTTCATAAACAATTTGATCTACAGAATATAGTATAGACTGATTATTGTTTATTTCTTCTAATGGAAAGATACTGAATTAGAATATCTCTAAAACCTTTCCAGCTTTGTTATTTATTGTATCACTGTAATTTAACTCCTGGGAAAGTTGTGATAAATCATTTAAAGGATACAAAGGTAAATTTAGATTTTCGAAGTTAATCAAATTAATTTTTAAAATAATTCTTAAATATCTTGTTCAGTAATATCTTCTTGTAGTTCAGCTGCAAAACACACACACACACACACACACACACTTCTTTGAATCCAGGTGCTTTCTATTTTATCTCCCCACATTATTGACATAATATTGCAGAATACTTTAGTAAGTATTATTAATTGATAGTTGTAAAATCTTTGTTTTGGTAAGACCTTATTTCCTTTATACTTTGTTCCTCTAGCCTGTGAAGCATATATGTTAGTATGGTATGGTATTTCTTAGGGATTAAATAAAAAATAAATGATAATCTGAATCCTTTATTTGTTCCTTTTTAAATAACAAATTACAGGTTGAGCATTTCTAATCTGAAAATCTGAAATTTGAAATGCTTCAAAATCTGAAACATTTTGATTGCCAATATGACACTCAGAGGAGAAACGCTCATTGGAATAATTCAGATTTCTGATTTTCGGATTAGGGATGCTCAACTGATATTTATTCTGAAAATATTCTAAAATCCAAAAATATCCAAAATCTGAAACAGTTCTAGCCCCAAGCATTTTGGATACTCGACCTGTATGTACACATAAACTTATATAGACTTCTTGTAGAATGCTAGAGTTGGAAAAGACTTTAGAAATTATCTGAACTCATTTTTACATTTATAGGTGAGGAAATACACTCAATGTTCATGTTTTCTCTCAAGTGATTAATATCAACAGCAGACCTTATTCATGGGCCAGGAACTATAATGTGCTTTGCTGTAGAGGAATGAGAATTCCTCACAGAATTCTGGGAGGAGAGATGGGGAAGCTTCTGTTTAGAAGAAAGATGAGCAGTAAAGGAAACATGGATGAGACATTTGCTTAGAGTTAGGGAAAGTTATTAAGGAAAATTTTACTTGATCTTAAGTCCCAAAATACTCTAAGAAATAATTTTTCATCTTTGAACACATTAAGTGCTCTGCGTTGTTAATTACTATTGACATTCTATGAAATGAATGTAACCACTACCCTCTGCCATCTTCTCTTCGAAGTGACATCTTCAAACAATGGGTTGTGCTCATTTTTTTCTCTCCATTCATCCCTCAAAACTGTGTGATCTGATTTCTGCCGACTCCCCTGAAACTGCTCTTCCTAAAGGTTCTAATGGGCTTATGTAGCCAAATCCAAGGAAGAAACCTTTCTTTTACTTGACCTCTGACATTCTCTTAAAATTCTCTTCTATCTAGCTTCCTTTGTAACACACTTTTTGGTTTCCCCAACATCTCTCTGTACTTCTTAACCTTTTTTTCTTTAACCTACTCCTTAAAGTTGATGTTTCCCTGGGTTTTCTTCTTAAATCCGAGAAAGTTCATTTTGCACCCATGGATGCAATTACTTTCTACAGATGACATTTTTCTGCTTCTTTCTTCAGGTCCAACATTGAACTTGGCTCCTTTTGCTCTGCCTGCATCATGTGTTTTTGTGAATTGTACAGCTGTCTACAATCTAGAGTATTCTTTGTCTCCTAACTCTATTGGCTGTTTCCTATCGCTTTCCTAGTCTCCCCCACATCCACTTCTCCCTTTTCATTCTCTATACCTCCTTTGGCCTAGACCCTCATCATGTCTTGCCTGGATCATTTTAATAGTTTATTGGACATCCTGCCTCTAACTTGCTGTCCCTTCAGCCTATCTGCCACATGCAGTCAGAATCATCCAAGACACAAAACTGATCTTACAGGTGCTCTGTTAATTGTGCCCCATTGCCTTCAGGATAGATTTCTTGGTATGGCATAAATGGCCCATCATGATTTGGCCCTTGCCTGTTCCATTTTCCTCTCAGGCCCTTTCTCCTGTGTACATAATCTACTATAGTGGTACCATCCTTCTTGCAATTCTTCATATATCACAGTTTTTCCTTATGTGTGCCTTTCTACATGTGCCTTATTGGATTTCTGTTGGTGCTTCAAAATGCAGGCATTCTCCTTGACGTTGTCCCCTTCCTCATTTCTTATTCATGTTTCCATGTTGTCCTGGGCCATACCTCTATCATAACACTTTGTACACGTAGTCTTTTTCCTTTAGTTTGGTAGCATACTTTTTAAAGTGAATTTGTGAGCATTACTAAAAGTTTATTTCTAAAGATTGAGCCTAGTGAACTAGATGTGTGAATATTATTAAATTAAGTAGGCTTGTATTGAATACTTGTAACATTATTCACTTTAAAAGGAGACTTTTATTTCCTTCTTGTAGCTATAATAATCCAGACTTTTATGAAGAATGCAAAATGGAATACCTGAAGGAAAGGGAAGAATTCAGAAAAACCGGAATTCCTACCAAGAAAAGGCTACAGAAGCTTCCCACAAGCATGTAGGCAAATACTCAAATGATGCTCTAACATTATTCATGGAAGTCATTTCAGGAAATCACCTGAAATAGTGGGCTCACGATAAGAATGTGTTTGCTTTATCTTCATTATGGAAATATTAATTTTACCTGAAATAAAGATCTTTTTTTTTTTTATTTCAAAGTTCTTTATCAGAAGGAATAGATAGTCATACATTCTGAAATGGGATAATTTTCCTGATCATTCTGGATTTTTAAAGTTTTTCTAGAACTATGGTTCTGTAACAGTGATGATAATTCTTAAGAGTTCCATATGGATCTTATATTACCTTCTTCCAGTGTTTAGGCAAATGGCTAATTATGGGGACAAAAAATAAAAGTAGGAATGGACAACCTTCAAAGATGTTAATAATAACTAGAACCAGAATCCTTCCAGGCTCTACCATTTATTAGTTATGCAACTGTGGAAGTAAATCTCACAGTTATTGTGAGGATTTATTGAGTATTACAGGTATGTGTACAGTATATATAGGACAGTGTCTCAGACATGGCAAATGCTCTTTAATTGGTAGTTGTTGTTAGTAGTGAAGGCTTATTTGGAAACATAGATAGGGAGATGAGTACTTGAATTAATTTTAATTACATCTTTGATGGAAAATGTTCTAAAAGGTATTATGTTCCTTGACCTGTTAACTTGGCTACTGAAAATCTTTCATTTTAAAAAGTCATTATTATAAGTATGAATTACCGTTTGTGTAACATAGTAATGGACTCAGGAGATAGTATGAAAAATTTATGTCCCAGTGCAATTATTTGGTCCCAGGTTGAGCTTCTGTATTAAAACTTGTTCTTTTCTTCCCCATGAACTGTCAACTCTTTACCACTGCCACTGTAACCAATTTCCAGTTAAGTCAACTTTACGTATATTTTCAGTCCTCATTAAAATCACAAACAGAAATTACAACCCAGTAAGATTTAACTTTGGCCCCAATCCCATGAAATAGATCTGAGAGTTTTTATTTTTTTTAAATGACTTAGTAAAATTAAGTCAAATAAGACACTAAAGAATCAGTGGATGTTCAAGTTCCACACTTTACTCGAGCGAGCCACTCAAAGAACTATTTTACTCTTATTTGAAATGCAAAGAAACCACATTTTCCCAGGCCACAGATCAAAAGGAGGGAGATTACTAGAACAGACAAAAGCAAAGCAAATAAAGAAATCCAGAGACCACACAGCATAGGGGCAAACAAGCCTATATTCCTGTTGGCCTTTTGGTTTTGGTGCATTTCCTAGAGCACAGGACCTTAATTCTTGTTTTTAATGATGGTTCAAATGAAGAAAGGCAAAACAGTTACTTTAAGAAGCTGGTGAAATCATCTGACCATTATATAATTTTGATTGAAATCAAAGCAGACTTCAATTTTAAGTGGAAAGTTCAGTTACATAGATGTCACTTTCCCCATAGGTGCTAGGCAAATTAAATAGTATAAATAATGGGTTTGTCCCTCTTTATCATATCAAAACTAAACGATTATAGCATCCAGAACATGCATGCGTGTCCACACACAGCTGCCTCAGTTGTGTCTTGCTTGCTCATTGGTGCCTCTGCTTATGTTATTCCTTGTTCATAAGTGACAATCCATGGGTTGTTTTTTTTAACCCCTCAAGATTTACCTTCTCCAAGAAGCCTTTCTGGATAAGATTATTACTTTGTTGTCACATGATTAAGTCTGAATTTCCCCCCTATCTATTTTGGTTTCCTAATGTTTCACATAAGTATGTTCCTGTTCTACTTATGAATTCAGTTCCATTTTGGCAGCAACTCAATTAAAAAAATCTTCCTTTTAGAGATGTAAATTTTACTGTGATAAGGGATCAAGAGGAAAGAATGTGTGTTGTTTTCTGTGTTCTCTTTATTCTGTTCAGTTATGGATGTGCTGAATTGGGTTATCTTATAAAAATTAAAGATTAAAGAAAATTTCAAAAGAAGCTATTTGGAGCAAGTTTCAACTAGTATGAAAGAGGTCAACCTAAAATTTTCAATTTTAAGAAAATCATAAGCCATTCATGGGCCACTCATTTCTTTTTGAATCTTACCTAGATGATCATTAAGTGTACATTAAAAAATTTCTGGCTGGGGGGGCTGGACGGTTCAGTTAGTTAGAGCGTGGTGTTTTAACACAAAGGTCAAGGGTTCGGATCCCCATACAGGGCAGCCATCAAAAAAAAAAAAAAAAGTTTCTGGCTAGGTGAAAAATTTTTTTGGTTAATCTTTTGCTGTGGGTTAAATGTGTCCCCCAAAGGTTCATGTATTAGAAACCCAACCTCAATTTTAATAGTGTTAAGAGGCAGGGAAACCCCGTTATGGTAGTTCAAAGATGCAACCTTTAAGGAAGAGGTGATTGTGAAGACTATGCCCTTGTGAATGGATTGATCCAATCATGGTGTAATGAGTGTGGTTCTGATGGCTTTAAAAGGAGAGCAAGTGAGGAGGTTAGCTCTCTTGCTCAGCCATTTGCAATATAACTTGCATTGCTATGTAGTTACCGCCAAGAACAAGGCCCTCACCAGAGGCGCTCCTGGACTTTACTTCCCAGCCTCTACACTTGAACAAATTCTACTTCTTTATAAATTACGCAGTGTTGGGTATTCTGTTATAAGCAACAGAAACGGGCTAATACATCTTTCCTTACTAATGAGTCTTATACATCATTTAGCATACCTGTTTGATAGTTATCATTCTATTGTTTAGATAAAAAAGAATTTTCTTCTCTCAAAAGAAGTTGGTTTAACAAGACACTGTTGTATAAATCATATTGACAACTAACAATTAGTACCAGACCGGGGTATACACAAGGGCAGTATTTCACATCCACTTCAATTTCAAATAAAACTTAAGTTGTTTTAATTAAACAATTTCTTGGCATTATTCAAAACATTAATCAAGCTGTTATCTCCTAAGACTCATTTTCTTTACAAACGAAAATTTCCAATCTCGGTTTTAAAAAAAGGCAAACCAGTAAGCTACATTAGAGATTAGATATAATATACAGACTATGCAGCCACATGAGAAATAGTTTTCTGCTGCTTTATTACACAGGTAGTTGCCTCCTTCAGCTAAAGCCCGAAGTCTTGTATTTGTTTAATGCATATTGGGTTTTGTTCTATTACTTGGCAGGAGATTGTACTCCCCTGAGTCAGCTGTGTTCATTGGTCAGAATAAATTCCAGCATCTGACACCAATTCCATTAATCACAGGCAAGCCTGAATAAATGAGTAAGATAATAGAAAGGCAAAAATATCTGGTGAATGGTGAACATTGTTTATGTATGTATGCTCTTCAGTAATATAGAAGAAGAGATCTGAGATATTCTTTTGAGTTCAAGATATATGAAACTCTAACAAAAAGGATAAAGTTCTCCTACATGAAACACTTTATCCCAAGCAAAAGGTGTATGAACCAAATAATATATTACTAACATTCTTAATACCTCCACCCTGAAAGAATTCAGATAAATTTCCATGTGAAGCCATCTTTGTTGTTTGTTTCCTTACTTGTTACAAATAATTGGCCACTTAGAACAAAAGAGTTTAGGGACATTTCACGATTGTACTACGTAAATACAGCACAAAATTTGGTTTCTAGAATTAGAATTCCTTATTCAATTAATTAAACCTAACTTCCTCAATAAGTAAAATACTACATTTCAAAACAAAGTCTAACAGTTTGTAAGTTACTGTACATAACAAGTAGGTATAGTTCCCTTGAGGAAAATGACTATACAGTGACACATTTCGATTTTCAGTATGGACCACTGAATGGACAGATTAGACTGAAACCTGTGTGATGCTCTTTCTACTTCTAACTGAATGGTGTATAGGGTTGTAATAGTTTATTCACACACCACACAGTTTTCAACTACATCTTTTTTTCAATTAGACATGAACGTACTGGGACAAAGTTGGCTTCAATGATCAGCTTATTTCAAGTCAGAATCCAATTTGCAATTCTAAAATTTTATCAACAAACAGTATTGTGACTAAAAAATCATTTTAAATCTTAAACTTTTAAACACAGTAACATATAGAGATGGAATAACCTAGACACTTATTTCATTATAATATTTTTTATATCTTTACACATCATAAGGTCAACAGAAATACAACCTATTCACACTGCCATTTGCTCCTTTATGCAATTTGAAGCAACATACATGTTTTTCTCCTATATTAATGGCTTCCTTTTATTTTTAAGACTGTGTATTTAGGCATTTAACATACTTTGTAAAACCATGTCTAAAAATCTCCAATTACCTTCTTTGAGAGGCAAAATTTTACAGTTTTTCTCAAAGGAAGAATTGTTGTTTTGAAACACCTTAAGTTCATTAATTAGTATTGTAACATATATGATTCTTAGAATATGGAACTGAAGAGTGATCTTTCATATTGAAAAATCAACTACATAACTACATAATATCATACAGTATGTTCAAATGTATATACTGAAGAACTTTGCAAAATTTTAATAAAAATCCACTTTCAGTTTGTTAAATAATTTCCTGGGAGAACCACTGAGAGAGATACAGTATCCTCGTGATCAAATCATGCAACTCTTCAGAACTAATGTTTATAAAAGAAGTTTTGATTATGTTGATCCAAGTAATGCAGTGGTGGCAGGTTGGGTAAAGGCAAAGTTTTACTTTTAGTTTCCCCAAATGCTGTCTCACTTGATTTAGGAGGGCTTGGGAATACCCAAGAATTATCTTCTAGAGAATTTCTGCCATAAGAGCTGTGTTCCTGAAAGTTTGTACCATCAGTAGGAATGGATCTCTCATTATCTGTCCAGGATTGGAGAATTGCTTTCTCTGACAAAACCTTTATATCTCCTGGTAAAGGGGAAGATGTATGATAAAGTGCTTTGCCATTTGGAGAGAGAGGGGGATGTCTTTTGTATGCTGCAGTAAAATTCGTCAAGTGCAGTTTTGTGCTGTCTTTCCCAAGGTCTTCAATGCATCCTATTGGGGCACAAGCTAAAAGAGAAAGCATAGGCTAAATGTTAGTTTTCATGGCATTTATGATCATAAAATACTTTAACACTTAGCTAATTTGGTTTAATTCTAGAACTTATAATGGAATATTTCCAAGTTATTTTGATCACTGGGGCTCTGAGACTTGGAGATAAATGACAGATGATCTGAGTTCTAATCCTGGATCAGGTATTTACTGATAGTGTGACTTCAGGTAAGTCACTTAACTACTCCAGGTGTCACTGTGCAGGTGTCTGCAAAACGGATGTAGTAATCCTGTCCCACGTGTGTCATAGAGCTGTTAAAAGATCAAGAAATGCATATTTAAAAAATTGGAAACTAATGAAGTTAAAATACAAGTTAAGATCCTGTTCTTGGCTCTAAATGTGGCTAGAAAAGGCTTGAAGACTGCTTATGTGTCAGTGGGGACTGAGAAAACTGTTCTTAAGTTTTAATATATTTTAGTTAAATAAAATATTCCTTTGTTTATTTAAACCTTTTCTCCATAGGTGGTCCAAAAGTAAACTTTTTCAGTAATAATTATATTTTGAATTGGTGAGACACAAGTGAAGCTTTAATATACATTCAAAGGCTTTTATGGATAAAGCAGTTTAAATAAAAAGTTGTAAAATATGTATAAAACATATAATAGCAAATGTAAACTCTGCTGTGGTCACAATACAGGTCAAGTAAAAAAATAGTAAAAAAAGAAAAAAAATATGTGTTTTGTACACATGCAATGACTAAGAAAAAAGACTGCTCTAAAGCTATTACTTAGCGATAGCCAACACAAAATATGTGTCATACTTTGAGCTTTTCCTCTCTTTCCAACTCAATCTATCAGGGTAGAAAGATAAATTTATTCTTACCCCGAGGGATGACCAAGCATAACTAAGGCTCGACTCTGTAGTTTTAGAAGAAACAAAATGAACTACATTATAACATAAGCTCATTGCCTTTTTTCTTGGGAGGGTACGTAGGGTTAAGGGAGAATTGGAAGTAACAGTATTTAGCTTCTGGACAAAGGTAATGCATAGTTCAGGAAAAAAAGTTTCATCTCTGGTAAGGAGTGGTGACCTCAAGCCTGCTACAGACATTGAAAATGTACTAGAAAACTTATGGTTCAGAGCATCATTATCCAGCCAGAAAGGAACACATAATGAGCTACTTCCAAGTGTGGAATGAGCATTTCTCCTTTATTATTCTTTGGAAGTTATATTTATTAATGTAAACAAAGAACCACAATGAAAATTTACTGCAAAATTACTCTATTAGTCCATTTAAAGAGAAGTCTTATTTCTACCATCAACTTATATTCTCATATACAACTTGACCACTGGAAAACTCAAGGACAAAATGAACCAAACTACGCTAGGCTTGCTAAAACACCATATTATTTTGCCTGATTCTCTCCAGAAACTGAAAGGAATCCTGAATTCAATTTTCCTTCCCAATATGCAACATTTCCCTGCACTTATTAATAAACACTCCTGGGGAAAACTATTTATAAAATACAATTCTCTTATGCCCTCTTTAAAACAATTTGAGGTGCAAATAATTTTAAATTAGATGGCGATTATTTTTTATAAAAAGTCATCATTCATTTAAAAGGTAAATTTTAGGGCATCTGAATTTATATTATACAACTTTTTATAAATAAACCTACTATGTAATACTAGGTACAAATGCACTGATTTTTCTCTATGATATAAAAATGGCTTTGGCAAAAGTAGCCACTACTTGTTAACCCAAACTCAAAAAGTTCAGTCAGCCAAGCAGTTCAATAAGAAAGGCAAAGCAATAAAAATTTTTGTTTGGTTGAAGGTGATAAGGGGAAAGCACCTAGTCTCTGTTATAATCAGCTAGCCTTTATGGAAAGAAAAATTAGGTTAATAAAAAACGCAGCAACCAAATAATGAATGAAAGTTATTTTTTTCAAAACAACTTAAAAACGCTAGGTCTTTGGTGTATTCTGTAGCACTGGAATGAAAAATTGCATTTGGTGTCTTTTTTTTTTTTTTTTTAAATACATGAAGTAGTTGTGGTAAAAGGTCAACTAGAGCAAACTTAACACCTCAGCCTTATACATATAAGCGACACTTGGCTGAGAAAAGCCACAAGGGGGAAAGAATACAGTACTGAAGAAAAACACATCAACAACACCTTTATGTGTGAAGTTAAGCAGTATGAGACTGAAGCCAAAGCAGAGAATGGGTAGGCTGTGAACAGAACATACTATATATACTTTGGCTTATCAGACTCATTTGATTAGATTTTGATAAGATATGATAGCTAGTTGCTTTTCAAGCAGTTTGGCTGGAATCAGTGGTTTCCGGCAAACAGTGACTTGCCTTTCTTGATTGCAGTTGGGGTTTTCAGTTTTCTTAGTAGTTCAGCTTGTACTTGAGTCACCAGATGTAAATTAGACATTTCTCTCTTCAGTTCCCAGTAGGCATGTTGCATATTATCACTGAAATACATTTTTTTTTTTAAAAAAAGTTAACACTCATCATTCTTTTTATGGACAAAAGGGAATAACTTTAAAATAGAAATAAGTAAATCTGCATTTCTGCTCCACTTAGTTTTGAGATGGTGTAAATAAAACAACTGAAAGATATTTAATTAGGGCATTTTAATAAGTGAAAAGATCTTATAGGAATAACATTGTCCTTCTGATTTCTAGCAATTACCTGTACTGTATTAAACAGAAGAAATATTCTAACCGATAAGAATTTCTTACAGGACTCTTCTCAGGACTGAGATTTTATTATAGCCTATAATGTACAGTGGTGTTAATATAATTAGTAAGTAGTAAGGAATATATTCTTCATTTGCAAACCTGGTCAAGAATAAAGTTACATTCATTCATATAAGGATTTTAAATTTGTATTTATCTTTTGATTGTTTTGAGGTTGTGAATTGAAATGACATATCAATTGCTGAATGTATACCCAAATCCACATTAAAATAAAATTTAGGTTTCATGAATTACATTCTTTATGTTTGACTGGGCTGTCTCATATTGTTGTTTCTAAACCAATGTGACATGACAGCACAAGACATGAAGAGCCAGATGATTTCCCGGTAAGAAAAAAGAAGCTAGACAGAGAGGATTATATGAAACAGAAATGAAAACTTTGAAAATGCCTCTCATATTTTTATAATTAAAAGTATTTTACCTCAATTACCGAGAAATTATAAATTAGTTATTTTAAACCTAAATTTTTAGGTATCATTTTCCATTAAACATCCAGATATTCAGGGTTTTCTTATTTTTTAGGTTCTAAATTGCCAACTAAATGGAGTGAAATCTTCAGCATATATTCTCATTTTGTTGTACAAGAATACACAAAATATTAAATGTCATAATAACTGATCTCATAGTGTTCAAGCAACCTCTTAGAGATACTAGTGTAGTTTTAGTAGTATAAAAATAAAACTAGACAAACATGTCATCTCATGCTTCAATTTTTGTCTAATCATGAAAACTTAAACTTCAAGGTAATAACACTCAAAATCTAAATCTAATATCCTTGTTACAGAAGCAATAGATATATTCAAAAAAAAAGAATTATTTTGGATTATGTAAGGTTAAATAACTTAGTTTATGTCAAAATAACTCGTATTCTACTCAGAATATAATTCTTTAACAACAAGCATCAGAACAAACTTTATACTACTTTTGAGAAAAATCTTCTAGTTTTAGTCTGTTGTAAACGTCATTTGTTAACCCACAGTGTATTAAAAAATCACAGGGGTTTTTGCAGGTTTTTAATAGCTGTGATATAATTACTATAGCAAAAATTAGTTAACCACCTCTATTCCACCAGTAAAACATCTGAGATGTTTGCTCAATGAATGTTTCACACAGGAACCTGTCTTGAGTGTGAAAAGAGTTGTTGGTTCCTTGGTGCCATTCTGGGCATTCAGTATGCTTTCCAAAGTTACTCAAACTGTACAGCAGTAAGTGTAATTAATAGTAAATGCAATTCTGGGCATCTAGTATGATTTCCAAAGAATTACTGATGTTATACATTGTTTAAATATAAACAATGTATGTGTGCTAATTCATGCAGATAGTCATTGATATGAATAATACAGTTTGAAAATAGTTTATCATTGGCATCAGATGGTAAATCAGTACTTGACTTAGAGAAAAGCAAAGCAAATACCCAAGATAATGTTTGGGTACTAAAATACCAAGCACATTTAATCATTCAAAATAGCTAGGCCTGTAAAATAAAAGAGAAACAATTGTAAGGAAGGTGTTAACATAGTGTCTAATATACATTTTTCAATTTAATTCAATGAAGACTCCTTAAAAATTAAGTTGAAAACTAGGTCACCAAGTTTCACACATATCTGGTCTTTTATGTATTTTGCCCTTAATTTCACCTGAACTGAAAACTACAGACATAAAATCTAAAATTATTACTAAGCATAAGCTCTCCCTCTTGTGGATAACAAAAAAAATGGCAGTTAGTATTATCTAAAGTGCCACAGTCTTCAAAGTGTGTAAAATATCACTTTTAATTCTATCTACTTGAACAAAATGTTTAAACCATTACTTAAGTGAGACTGGAAAAGGCAAGTTGTTATCCCTCAAATTTTTAGCAAGGTTCCAACTAACCCACTTTACTTAAACGAGCATTTCTGAGGCTATGCATTAGATGGCACCTCCAACCCAACTTCACCCCAGTTCCCCAACTTGGGAGTGTTAACTTAACTTTGTTTTAAATGCCATACAAGCAAAATCCTAGTAATATATATAGTTTTCTATAAAGGAATCATATAACTGCAACACCAAAGCATCCCAAATGAGAACCCTTAAAAAAAAAAAAAGATTAAACAAAAATCATGGTTACCATTTATTATGTGCTAGGCACTTCAACCACATTCTGACACAACTTGGCGAAGTGGGTAACCTCATTTTACACATAAGGTAAGATGTTCAGGAGTCTACTCTACTCTACTATATGGCTGTTGAAAACAACCTTTCAGCTATCCAGTCTAATGACTGATTGCTGCCCTTCTGGGGTAGCATTTTTCACATCATCAACATCATCATCGTCCATTTACCAAGCACCTACAATATGCTGACTGCCAACACAATCTTCTCAGCCTCAGTATAAAACTTTACACCTCTGACTTTTAAATGTAATGAAACTTGCTTTTTCACATCTCAAGATGGGGTACATGTCCTGCTTACAAAGTAAAACTGTATAAAAGCTCAGTTTTCCTAACTGACACTATACATTCAGCTCTTTAATACAGAAATGAATATTCCTTGTATAAGAAAAATTTACTTCACTGAGTTTTCAGCCATACATATTTTTCTTTCGCTTTTGAGAATTTACCGAACTGTTACCTCCCTCCCCACCAGAGGAACTAAACTTAAAGTATGGGATATTCTTAGCAAAGAGCTATAGCTTAAAAACATGTATTTTGACAACTGTGATTCCCCCAAACAAGTGTCTTTCAAACATTTTTGATTGCAAGGCACACAGCAAAGCAATCATTTTACACTGCAACCCAAAGAAAACAAGTTACGAGAAACCATACTTACCCTTATGTGTAATTACATTGTTTTGTTCTATTTTGTGTTATTCCATATTTCAAAAATGTTTGTCTTAACTCACAAAATTTCATGATCACTAAAGAAACACAGAAGAGTCTGAAAAACACTAACCTAATCCATATTTTCTAAACCAGGGATTTACATTTTAAGAAGTCATCTGTAACTCAGTTCCACAATGTAAGTTTATAGATGATGAGAAAAAACAAGTACAGTAACTCCATACTTAGATCTGGTTCAAAAACCAAAGCTGTCAACTTAAAGCCAACAGCAAAGCAAGACGCTGACAGGACACTGGCTAAATTTCTGATAGGGCATTATTGATAAATGATGATTTATAAAAATACCATATAAATATATGTGTGTGTATATATATATATGCATATATGTTATATATTATATATGTATTCATATATATATACATGAAGTACCATATAAAAGTAATTTCAAAGGTTCACTCTATCCTAGGGAAACATTGTAGTACCTCATTTGCCTGGCAATATGATAAAGGAAATACAAAAAAAAGTGTTTCAAAAAAGGGAGTTTTCCAAATAACTGAAAAATAATCCTTAAAAAATATCTAAATCTTTAGTTAATGGTTTTGTGGAAATACTCCTACATATTTTCCCCTAATATAGTAAATTTAATTCATCATCTGAATTATTCCACTTAAAAGTGAATGAGGTAACTTAGCAATGATTAGTAAACCACAGGAATATAAACTGGAAATAGGTATAAATAATGAGATGAAGAAAAAACAGGATGCAAATGCAGTAGGGAATGAAGCTAACATAAAAATGCATGATATGAGGTTTACCAAGGGTAGGCCATGTATTGGATGTAAGTTTTCTAGTTGCCAACCAGAAGAGGGAAAACTAATCAGTTTTGCAGTTCACATTGATGACATAAGATAAATACAAACCAATTTGCAAAAAAAAAATCAAAAGCATATTCAAGCACTAAGGGAGCCATTAGGACATTTTTTTAAATTACACAGTTCTTTAACATACAATATCCTTGGTATAGCTTTAATACAAAGAATCTTTTAGACCGAATTTTCTTTTCCCCTCCAAAAAAGATGACCGGTAAGGGGATCTTAACCCTTGACTTGGGTGTTGTCAGTACCATGCTCTCCCAACTGAGCCACGGGCTGGCCCCTTTTTAGACTGAATTTAAAGCAATTCTCTCTAAAAACTTTTTCTCATGTAACCCTCTGAGTTGATACTGACTTTTAGAGAATTCAAGACTGCAATTTGAAGCCATAACTATAGCTCTGTAGCTTCAAAAACTGCACTCACCTCCTTGGGTCTTCAATATCCCACAAATCCTAGCATAGTTTCTTCACTATCTTGTTAGTTATCTGATGCCTTCAAACATATTTTTGGCGGGGAGCCAGGTTTTCAAAATACTCCTAGTGGAAGTGGTCCAAACTATGTAATCTACCATGAATGGAAGAAGTCCCATTCTATATGACATGTGTTTCTAATATACTATTTATATAGCCCCTTTATTTGACCTACTCTAACATATTTATTCATTCTCTGCTTCTTTCCAAAAACAATTTGAAGTGGCCTATAAAAATGACAAGTACTGCAGAATTAATAAGGGAAAAGACCTAGGTTGACAGGATAAAAGAAGGTAACTTGGACAAAACAGATGACTTTGACAAACAGTTTACATGGATACTATACTAGACACATTGTTTTTAAAAAAGAAAATATTCCTTACTATAAACTTAGATAAAATCTGAAGGCATAATTGAACAGTTTCAACAAGCAGAGTTGAGTAGCAGCAACAGAGACTACATGGCTACCCCACAAAGCCTAAAAATATTTACTGTTGGCACGTTGTAGAAATAGTTTGCCAATCCCTGATCTAGCAGAATAGCTGCATGTCATTTCCTCAAATTGTCTTCCCTAACTGATCATTTCTTTCAGCAGGTATTTAATAGGAATAGGGCTGAGACAATTGACATTATTCACTCAGGTCAGTAAACTTGGGAAGCCAAATGATTAACAATGAAGTTAAATCAATATTTTTCATTGGATGGAAGGTATCCATGTAGAGAGGGCATCCTAACACAGTAGAAACAAAAATTATTAAATAATTTAAAACACAGAACTTAAGTTATGTAAGTAAAAATACGTATTTGAGAAAAATGGGTTAAAGTACATGAACTCTGATAGCTACTTCTGTTCTTACTCTTAAGAGGAATATATAATAGTTTTTCAAAATTCGTGCTATTACAAAGACTAAGGTTTTCCAAGTTTGCCTACTATTACTGTATATGGAAATGCATAATTCTTCATGCACAAAATCAGGGCTTATTACAGAACACTTCCACATAGCTAGTTCCCTAAAATAATATCTAAAATATTACTGAATGTTCAGAAATTCTGTTTAAGGTATCACAGTGTACACCTTCCTGCAACTTAAGTTCAAGCCTACTGTTTTTTTAATAAATATATTGTGATCACAGGTTACATTCAGTATCCAAGTAGTATCCATTTGTTTTGTTTTTAAGGTTAAATCATAACAGAAATCTAGGTACCCATAAAAAGTGACCTATAGAAGAGAACATATATTATTTTAATGTTGAAGAATGTTCATACCTTGAAATGCTTAGTCTTTGGAGATCTTTGCTCTTCAGATTGTCTTCCTGAGATGGATCCTGTCATTTGTTTAAAAAAGAAGTTAATAAGTTGTAATTGTTACATTGTTTATTCTCAGCTCTTTATTACCACAGACATGTTTCAGCATTTACAGAATACATCGATAACTGTACAGCATAAAACTTGATTTCATATCAATTTTATTAAGATACTTCCAACCTATACCAAAATCTCTTCCAATTATTTAAATCATTAATTCTTTAATTTTCCTTAAAGAATAATATTGCTCTCATGAAAAAGAACTTGAGTCTTAGAAAATATATTTCTGAAGACACCAATCTGAAGTCTATATTCAAAAAGTATAACATTTATTACACTGCTGTTTATTTAAGGTACAGCTGAAATGAATTCCATGGGAAAGTGTAGTTTTTTGGTATTTTACTTTTTTGTATTACCTAAAAGAACCAAAAATTTAAAACACGTTACTGTTTAAAAAGATGAGCATAAATTTCCTCATTCCACATAGACACAAAATGACCTGGCAAGGATTTCATACAGTCCCTATATAGTTTTAAGTTACAGTAGTTTAGGATGTAGATATAACAAGAAAGAACCTACAAAAGATATTTTTAAATAAACTTAATATGTTTAAGACAATTCTCTAACATTTTTGGCAATGAATTCTCACGCAAGGGTATGTAGCAAATAAAAATGAGTATCACAGGTACTATTCTACTGGCAAAAGTGGCCAGTAAAAGCTGACAGAACAAAATTTAAGTGTACTATGCCTTATTTACATAATCTAAATTATATGTTTTAAAGTGGAATATTAAAAAGCTGAATAAGGACTTCATGAGTACTCTGAACTTGGGAGAGTAAAATATTAAAAATATTTCATATTATAGTAGTTAAAGCATTTTTGGATCTCTGATTTTAATAACATAACAAATTGCATCTTAGAAAGCCCTATGGAAAGGGGAAACAGAACTGGCCCACGAGTCAGGGGAGGTTTGACCACTAACCAGGCACATATCCTTGGACAATGTTCTTTTCTGTTCTCCATAGGAAATGAAAAAATCAGATCACTTTAAGTTTCTTTGTATCACTACTTAAAAAAAAAATATTTTAAGTAGCATATATTTAAGCATACATTCATTGGAAACCTTCCTCATTTTTAAAGTGAACAATATTAAAAAAATAATCTGACAGTTTGGGTGGGAAAATATTTTTCGAGCTGCCATCTAACAATTGAGAAAATCTAATGTAAATCAGCAATAAGCTCAAAGGAATTGTCTCTAATATTCAAATACCCAATTATTGGCCAGTAATCAGTTTGCTATGTTCTAAACACAGTAATGGATTTGTTTCCCAACTAGGGCCTTAAGATGTGGTAGTTTCACATAAAGAAGGGCCCGTGGCTACAAAATTTTGAACAATGTTCCAGTTATACAGGTTCCTATGCTATAGGTCTTCTTAAAACAGTTAATATACTACAGCACATTGTGAATCTCTAAATGGGTTTATTAGTGACCTTAGACATCTAAACCAACTCCATTTTACTGATGCAGTGTTTCTTATAATTCTTCAGTCCCTTGAGTCTATATTTCTCACAGGATCAACTGTTTGGAATGTAAATGGCTGGAATACTACGGGATACAGAAAGTCTAACTAACTATACTAACACCAAATACTTAAAAAAGCAAAAAAATCCCAACACTATTAGTCCACATAGGATGCTATTACACACTTCAGAACATATTATAAAATATGTTTCCTGGAAAGTAGCATCTTAAAAATATTTGTAAATATGGCTAGAGTAGCTATAAGCAAGATTAATTATTAATGTGAACATAAATTTCTCTTGTTGGCTTGCTATCAGATTCCCATATCCAAAAGGACTTGTGATCAACAACACCTCTGAAACAATATTTAAAAGTACATTCCACAACATCAAGATTTTAACTTGAAACCCTTTATAAATTGATATTTCCGCTCTTCCTCTTCCTGGTTCATTTCTCAACTGTGAGTATTTTTTTTACTTCACAGCCTCCCCACAAAATGCCTGTAAAGGAGGGGACCATGATTTAAGTCTTTTTTTTTTTTTTCAGTGCTCCTCCCTTATGTCACCTTCAGCTCTTAAAAGTTTGTCTCTCAGATTTAATTTCATCATAAGTTAAAGAAAAGTGATTTCTAAAGTTTCTTCTCTCTAAAAGTCTTTCTGTGATTTGGATGCTTATGGTAGATGAATTTAAACTAAAAGCAAATTTATTGCCTAGCACCACCTAGTGGAAAAGAGTAACTAATAAATTATAAACCAAACTTTAAACATACACATAGTCTGAAAGCACTGCCTTTCTGAATTACTCTAATCAAGTTTTTTTCTTTAAAAACATTTACTTACTGAACACACTATATACTGGGCACTATGCTACTGCTTTACATACACTAATTTAATCTTCATGAAAAACTAGGTATTTAATATCTATAGAAAGCAAGTTCCAAAAAGTTGAATGATGTTCCTAATGTTACATAGCTAATAAGCAACACCATAATTATGAGCCAGGTTTCTATGATTCCAGGTACTGCTTCCTACTCTACAATGAAATATCCATTATGTATGAATGAAAGCTATAGAAATATTTTAAGGATAATGGATATCCTGACAATTAAAATTCAGAGCTTAAAGGTGCAGATCTTTTCTTGCAAACACATCTTTTTGGAAGAGGCTTCTCAGTGACAATGGCAACTGGGCTTGTGGAAGAGGATGCTTGAAGCTTTCAAGGAACTGTGGTATGTAGCCACAAGTTCAAAGCTGGGAAAATCAACTTTAGATGTCAAGTAGAAAAAAAAATCTTGGCTCTAACAGGAGTTGACAGTAATTTTTGTAGTGTTTCCCCTTTATCAGGGCTGGGGGCTCCAAACCCAGTTCTCATTGCCCAGTTTAGAGGAATTCATTTGGTTAAGGCCAAGGCAGAATGTTATATTATTCTGGCTCATTCTTATCCAGTGCTCATTTCTGATAAAGACTACATTATAGAAGACAGAATAGAATTGTCGGCTCCATCTAAGGATATCTGGGATTCAGAATCTTGGCTGACAGAATCCTGACTAGCATTCAGGATGTATAGAAAGTAGGTCCTTTTTCAGGTGGTGGCATCCCAGAGAAACTCCCATGGAATAGGAGACACCATTCCTCAATAGTGATGGAATGCTCTAGCAAGCAAAACGGGCAGGGAAACAGTGATATAACTGGTTACAGCTTAGTATGAAATACGTGAATGCACAAAATGGCTATTTGCTTTAGACTACTAAGCTTTTCGATTTCTTCAAACAACTATTTTAAATTTTGCATTTGGTGTATTGCTCTCACACTCTCCTGTTTCTATATCATTTCCTCTTTGACCCTCAGCAATATTTGTCAGGACATCTGAAAACATATATCCAAGCTTGCTAGAACCCAATGTAAAGTAGTGTTAGTAAACAGACTCTTGGTGAGGAACTGAGAGGCAGCCTGTATTTTAGTGGATGACTTTAGGCGAACCACACTTTAGCAGCTTGGCAAGTTTTTGTTTCTTCCTATTCTTGAATTCTAAGCTGTTTGCTGATGTTTCTCCAAAAGTATTAGTCTTCTGAAAAGATTCAGGCTCTGTAAAGTTTTCTTTCTTGTTGTTGTTTTTTTAAGAATTTTTTTAAAGAAATGAAATGGGAAACTTAAAACCTGAGCTCTCTTTAAACTTTACGGAGAAAAAAATAACTTAAGGAAATTGAACAAAGGGGAGTTTAAAGAACAGTTATAATAAATTAATAAGCTTTTCTAAAATAAGCCTTTTTAAAAACAAAATTGTAATTCTGGGATCAGGCTAAAAGTATACAGCGTATCACATTTTAGCAGAAATGATGAAAGGGAAAGAGAAACATGAATTTTTCAGGGATGAGAACATTCTCTTTCAGAGCAGTTACAATTTATGTTAACTCTATGGTTTAATAGTTATAAATCCTACATATAATGCACAGTGAATACTGAACTGCTCAATATAATAATTCTGTAGTACCGTTTGTTTGGCTTTTTGTAGCTCTATTTTGAGATCGCTACATTCCTTCCTTATCAGTTCCAGCTCTTGTTCCAAACCATGGATCTTCAGGTCACAGCTCAACTTTTCCACCTCCCAGTTTGATGAAGGTGGACTTAAATTCCTCATCACTACAAAAAGGATGGATATCAAAATTGTTATCTCTACCTTCTACACTGATTGCAATTCTAAAAAGGTTATGCTGATAAATGTAAATAATAGAAAAACTAGTATAAAACATACACAACCATTAGCAGCTTTTTAAAAAAAGATCTATGCTAATGAGAATAAGAAATCTTGCAATCTTGCTTCAGAATGTATTAATCACCCCATTCTTGATTCTCTACTTAAGCTGAAATACAAATCTGTCAGTCTGGAATTTTAAAAGTTACTACACGAATCAAGCATATGCTAATATTGTAGACAGACAATCTATTCTGCAAAAGTCAAGGTTAAAACAGTGATGAAAGTAACAAACAATAATCTGAGGCTCAGCTAATCACTCCATCTAGTCACCTTAGTCCCCTCAGAGAATATAAAGTTTAAATGACATGCCTTAGAACATGATGTCAAAACAATTTTATTCATAAACATCCCACTGTAGAAACTCAATACAACTGGATAATGCTTTATCCTTGAGTTAGTACATTAGTCTATCTATAAAAAGTCTTAAGAGATCTCATTTCAATCAATAAGAGATCTCATCTCAATCTCCTATCAAAAGGTCTCTCAGAGGCCCACTCTGCAGCTTGTCTCATCAGAATGTTCATGGAAACAGGCTATTACCCATATCCCTCAGACCTAACTTTCCACCCCATCATTTCATCTGTTCCTTTTAACAACCTGCCGAAAGAAGAAAAAAGAAAGTAATTGTAATTACTTCTTAATAGTATGTCTGTGGGCAACAAGTTCAGTAAGACAGAAAAGCCAGGACATACCAGTGGGCCAGAAGTTTTGACAAGGATGGGGTTCTACCTCTTTCCTCCTACACTTCATCACAAACTAGCCTTGAATAAAAACCATCAAATTTCCTCTAGGAAAAGTACAATTATAGCTAAGGAAAAGTTAAAAGGTGATACAGAACAGAGAAATTAATATAAGCCTAATAATTAAAACAAAGCCTTAGCATACATTTACAGATAAAGAAAACTGATCGTGGACGTAACACATAAATGGAAAAATGTATTAATTCTGTTAGAATATTTATAACAAGTAAGTGGCATACCCAGCTGAGTTTCCACCTCTGTCCTTAGCTGGAGGAGTTCTACTTCTTTAGATTGTAGCTGTTCATTCAATACTTTCAAAGATTCAGAGTTGTCTTTATTCTAGTTAAATAGGGAAAGTGCCGTGTTACATTCAATAAAATCTATACGTTGGTATTATATCTTAATTTTCAGTTAGGTATTGAAAAAATTCATTCTAGTCTTCAAAAGCAAGGTGGGAAAATTAACTTAAGTTTCTCACTTTATTATTATTATTATTATTTTTTTGTCTAACTTAGAACATTATTATTCACTGGCTTCTTTTAATGTTACAATGCCATGATTTTTCAAAATAATTTAGTGCTGTTAGATGTGCTTAAGTCCTAGACATCACTGAGTACTAAGTATTTGTTACAAGTATTATTAAAACTTTTCATTTTGCCTTAAATATGTATATTTAAAATTTTTAACTTGTAAACGTACATTAGTCCCTCCTTATTCATGGCCTTGATTTCCACAGTTTCAGTTACCTCTGGCCACCCACGGTCCAAAAATATTAAATGAAAAAATCCAGGAATAAATAATTCATAAAGTATTAAACTGCATGGCAATTCTGAGTAGTGTGATAAAATCTTGAGCAGCCCCGCTCTGTCCACCCAGGACATGAATCATCCCTTGGTCCAGCTTATCCACACTGTATATGCTACCTGTGTGTTGGTCACTTAGGAGCTATCTCCGCTATCAAATCAACTGTGGCAGTATTGCAGTGCTTGTGTTCAAATAACCCTTATTTTACTTAATAATGGCCCCAAAGCACAAGAGTAGTGTTGCTGGCAATATGGATATGCCAAAAAGACGCCATCAAGTGCTTTAAGTGAAAAGGTAAAAGTTCTTGACTTAAGAAAGAAAAAAAAATGTACGCTGAGGTTGCTAAGATCTATGTGAAGAACAAATCTTTTATCCATAGAACTATGAAGAAGGAAAAAAATCATGCATAGTATATATAGAGTACTATCTGTGGTTTCAGGCATCCACTGGGGGTTTTGGAACATATTCCCCTTGGATAAGGGGGGACTACTGTAAGTATTAAACCTCTCATTTCTAATTTTAAACCTCCTGAAGAAGAAAATTCATTTGCAATATACAGATATCATTCTTTTCAAACCAACTTACCATTTTATCTAATTTGCTCTTCAAATTATCTCTATCAATGCAAACCTCTCGATATGCATGATATGCCTTATTTACTTGTTCTCGTCCCACAGAACTTGTTTCTTCATCTAATCGAGCTCCTACAAGCTAATGGTATGAAATAGAAGAGAAAGCTTAACAGAATATTCTACAGAAAAAAAAATAAGTCAGGCTTCTGATGGCTCCACATCTTACTTTAATCGTTGTAATGCAGGAATAAAGCCTGGACCATAATTAAGTGAACATTTTATTTCCATACAATTAATCTTTACTGAGTAAAAAGCACAAAAGTACAGAATATTTCTAAAAACTTTCTATTCTACACTTTTACTTAACCAGTATTTTATACTTCATAGTATCTGTTTTATAACATATTGTCATCACACTACAACACAGTACATATACCATTCTTCTGAGGTACTTAGGTGTTTTCCAAGTCAGTATTATCTAATTTCCATCACCAGAAAAACTATCAAAGTTAAGGCATACAGTGCATGACTTTTTAAGGAAGAGACATGTTAGTTCATTAAATCCTGTATTATTATAGAATAGGAATTAATAGGATTGTTGTTCAGAAACGACAGAAATGTTTCCAATGTTAACTATACACTAAATACTATTTTTCTACTGAAGTTTAAAATAAACATAGCTATTACAAGCTCCAAAATGTTACCTTCTCTCACTCTATCCCAGTATGTTACAAATTTACTTAATCACCATTTTTAAAAATTTACATAAATTTAAAGAAACTATGATTATTTTTACAATTCACTCTCCTCCTCTTACCTCCCTCAAATGAATCGAACTCTACCAAGTCCCATCCTCAATTTTTTTTTATACAGCCTAATTCATTTCCATGGCTGCTAAGAATTCATTTCCTTTACCCTTTGTGGAAGCTGCTATTTGTGAGATACAAATACACTGATGTGATCTGAATATAAACTAAACTAAGTTAAAACTTTAAAACTCAAAAATAAATGGAATGATTGTGGAAGATTTCTCAATACACAAAGCCAAGTAAAAATCTGGTGATTTATATTGAATCAGCTACCTTGCTTATGTATTCTAACACATTTAGGAGTGTGAGTGTTCTGCATGAAAAGGTAAACAGGGGACATTAATTTATCAGCTAAAAGCATCATTCCTATTATGGGTATTAAAAAATAAAAGAGAATGTTAAGGAAGATTTCAGTCCTACTGAAGACATTAGTAAACACATTAGAACAATGTTTCAATAGCTTCTTCCTATGACACTTAATTTCCTGTTAGTATGTCATTTTTTTTTTTTTTGCACAGATTTGAAAATTATGAATAAAATACATACAACTATGAAGGTAAGACAATCTGAAAAAAGGAAAAAAAAATTTGGAATATCACTCCTCCAAGTTGTTAAATTCTATTCTAGAAATATCCACAAAGCACACAGTATAGGAAGCAGAGTATAAGTATAATGCCCAGAGTTTTGAGATTAGCAGTGGGTTATTCTTGGAAATTTAGTACAACCATGGAAGAAAGACAGAAAACATTTAAAATTTCAAATATTTTGAATTTTTCTTTATGTCATAAAACATAATGAAGGTAGAAGATAAAATTACCTTTTCTTCCAAAAATCGTATTCTTTTCTTTAAGAAAGAGTTCTCTTTCTCTGAATCCTTAAGTCTTTTTTTGATGTCTTCATATGCAGTGACAAGGGCAAAATGTGAAGCAACAGACTCATCTCCTGAATATATTGAGACTGGATTCACTGTATCTCCCTTATGCGCTTTTTCATGATTCAGAATGCAGATATCATCTTCTACCAGTGCATCCATGACAGCTATTTAAAAGAAAAAGTATGTATAAAATACAAATGTCTCACCGAATAAATGAGCAGGGAAAAAAGATATATAGAATAATGTGAATACTGTGACAATGTTTAAAAACTCCTATTTCTCTTAGAGGCTGTATGGCATCATGGTTAACAGCATAGACTCCGGAACCAGACTGCCTGGGTTCTAATCCAAGCTCTACCATTTAGTGTCTATGTGACTTTGGGCAAGTTGCTTAACCTCTCTGCTTCAGTTTCCTTATTTATAAAGTACAGAAAATAACAGTGACTCATAGTCTTCAGAATATCAAATGAATTGATATCTATAAAACATTTAAAACAGTTATCTATTATTAATAAGTTCTATAAAAACCTGTGAAATACAATTTTCATTAAACGGATCAAATTTTTAAATACTTTATGGCCATATATTTCTTGTCATCAACATTTCCATTTACATCTATTAATAGCAAGTTTTATAGCTTCCCAATTAATAAATTTTCAAAAATTCCTTAAGTTTAACTTATTACAACATATTATTATAGAAGTTTTAATGCATACTTTATTTCCATTCCAGTAATTGATTAGGTTTGTTGTGTATTAACAGTAAAAGACAAATAAATTAACATTTGAGTGGCCACTATGTCCCAGTATTATGTACTACATTTAAAAATATATATAATCTCATTTAGTCATCCAAACAATTCTATGAGGTGTGTGTCACCTACATTTTATAGGAAGGCCTTAGAATGGTAAAGTAATCTGCCCGGATAAAACTAGTAGAATGTTAGCTTTGTGAGAGGAGAGGCTAAGTCTGTTTTGTTCATCATCATGTCCCCAACTCATCATTGTGTAGAAGGTATTCAATAAATATTCCACTCTGAATAAAGAGTTGATAGAGTAGGATTCAAATCAAACTCTGACTCCAAAACCTAAGACAGGAAGCCAGTTACCTTCATTATTTAATGAAAAATATACTTTCTCTGACATCTACTTTTGCTGTTAGGTACAGCATTACTTCCCCATCTGAGAGTTTTGTTCCTGAAAAACACTATGGAAGGAGAAATTGTGGCTTAGATCTTAGATTAGTAATTAAAGATTACTGAAAATTTTTTTTTTTTACTTTCCTTTGCTTGAAATAAAATTTGGTTACTCACTAGTATCAGTCACTGTTCAAGAACATTATAAAGAAACTGAGGTAGAAAGTAGTTCCTTAACTTTTCCAAAGTAACATAGTAAGTGGAGAGTTGAGATGTAAACAAAGGCGATCCATATTTCACTATGCCTGTTTTCCTCCAAAACTTCTGATCTTCCTCCCTGTGTTCACTTTCCTTTGTTTCAGACAACATGAATACTAATGAAAGGTTTGTTTGTGTGCTTTTCTGGGTTTGGTCTTCTATCACTATTATTTTCTCATTCCTAATTTTACAATTAAAAGCTTACGGTTGCTCTCAACTAAAGCCAAAGTTCGAAGTTTACGCAATTCATGTCTATCTAGGATTATAAGAAAGGTAGGAAAAATAAACTACAACTCCTAAGCAGGTGAAACCTGCCATCCAGTCAGTCTTCACCAAGAACAATTTAAAATTTTCTAACTATGTAGGATAACTCCTGCTTTTAAGTTAGAATCTTTCCCAGTTTATCAATAAATTCCAAGAACAAGGTTGGACTATTCTACCTACGGTATCTCCCAAAATAACAGATTCTCATAACCTTAATTAACTCATGCTGCTGCTGATGAAAGCTGCACCTTCTCCTAATGATAAAGAGTTTAAGTTTTCTCGCTCTACACAGGTTTACTTTTCAATCTCTGGATTCAACTCTATTCCAAAATAATACCAAACATCATTCCAATCATGCTGCTGCCAGTCAAAAACCCTCATTATTTCCTTTCAGAAAGGAAAGTACGAGTTATTCCCATAATGCAAACTGCAAGTATGTGTTATGTATCTCCATTCAAGACTCGTACACACGCACACACATTATCTTAAAAGTATAACAAAAGTATATGGCTAGTTAAGTAGTAGGATGCAGTCTGGTTTAAGGAGAGGTAAAACTGTGCCCTTATTAGGCATTTGATTTAAACAAATGGGCAGGATTTCTTCAACTTGAATATATTTTTCTAAAGAGAGCTGAAAACAAAAAATAAGTATAGACTGCTTTACAAAGCCAAAATAGATGCCCCACAGTTTGTGCACTTTATGGATCAAAGCCTATGCACTTTTGCTTTACACAAAGTTCTAAATAGCTCAGCTGTATGATTTCCTTATTTATTCCTTTTTATCATGAAACAATCATTTACTCAGCAAGGAAAACCCAGTGTGGTAGAAAGTTGTGCAGAAAAGCGACTATTATACCATAAAGGCAGGTAATATATTTGAAACAATACAGAATGCTATGGAGTTAGGGGATGAGGAGAAATAGTTTTCACTGAAGGTACCACAAAAGAACAAATAACTTTTAAGCCTGCATTCTTAAGTGAAGAATTATTGTACTTAAACCTTTACAGTTTACTAACTTTTAGCAGGGGGAACAAGTTCAAAGACCTGAAAGAATGTGGGAAGAAGGGTTGAGAAGGGGAGTGGCAGTAGATGAGATAAGGAAGACAGGATGGGAACAAACTGAGGTGACCCTTTATGACAGAATGATCATAGATTTTGGTCCTCATTCTGTGAAATTTTTAGAAGACAGACCTGGACATGACTAAAAGAATGTGAAGAATATTTATACATTTATTAAGAACATTCACAACCAAATGAATTACTTGTGCTAAGTGTTTACAAATATTATCCCATTTAATTCTCATGACTACCCTATGAGGCCTTATTAAACCCATTTCATAAATGACAAAACTGGGGCCTGGAAAAGTCATGAAGCTTAGCCAGAATCAGATAATTACTATGTAGCAGAAGCACTTAGATTTTAGAGCCTCGGCTATTATTTTTTCTTTTTTTTCTCCCCAATGAATCTTTTATAAAATCTTCCATTGAGAACTACAAAATTAGAAACCCCTCATATGTTTTATAAGTACTCTAGATGGAAGATACTCTAGATGAAGAAGATACTTAGAAGATATTTAGATACTTATAAGTTTTATAAGTACTCTAGATGTACTGATATAACAATGTCACATTTTATACAATATAACTGGTGATTTTTAGGACAAAATGAGTAGTCAGACTGGTTTATTTACATTTGTTGCCTTTTTTATAGATAAATCAACAAAAAGTTGAATATGTGTGGTCTCTCTTAGTATAAGAAAACATTGTTTACATTCATTAGGATTTTTCAAGTTATATACTATTATTCTTCATATTTATTCTAGGTACTATAAACATGACTTGGAATGCACCGAAAAGCAGCATGAAAACTGCTTATCTGTCCTAAAAATTATATGAGAAATAACCATATTAAAGCACACCCAAAAGAAAATCCACTAGCACCACAGATATGCATCAAGTTTTAAGTTCTAAAATAACTGTCATTTAAATTTATAATGAAACAAAAGTTTTAACATTTACATTTGCGGAAACTGCCTATATCTAATCTTACTTACCATAATTTAAATTTTCTTAAAATACCAAACCTTTGTTTACATTAATCTTTAAAATATGATTGCCACAAGCAAAATATTGTTATCAAAAATTCGAATTGCCAAGACTACACAATATTTTAAATAGTCTAACAGGAATTGATAACATTCATTTTCAAAACTTAACGAACATCAAAACATTGTCCAAAGGCATGCTTAAGGTGATTCCTCTTAATCATGAATATCAATAATAAAGGTATTCCACAGGGACATGACACAAAGAATTTTGGCTCTTTCAAAAACATACTAGGAGCTGGCCGCTTAGCTCAGTTGGTTAGAGCACACTGCCTTGCAATACCAAGGTCGAGGGTTTGGATCCCAGTACTGTCCAGCTACCAAAGAAAAAAATTCTAAGAAGCTGGAGATGACCTAGGGTAGTGTTTGACAAAGTGAGTTATGGACTACTGCCTTAGAATTGCATGGAATTGTGTTCAAAAATAATGACTGCTAGGCTCCACTGTAGATCAAAAGCACTTCAAGTGATTTTAGGTCCCACTCCAATTTGAGAACTGCTCATCTACAGGGAACATAAGCTAAGTAGCTACTGTGTAATTTACAGAATTCCAATTATAACTAGTATTCTTGAACATTTATAGGAATGGTTAGTTCTATATTATCAATTGGTAAACACCACCTAACTTTCACGTGAAGATTCTGTTTCTAATATTATAGGAAGTGATTTCATATTCATCATCTCATCTCATCACAATAGTACTGAAGGATTATATAGTGTATTTACAGGCATATATACCTATTATGTAGTCATGCAAACATTTTATATATTTGGCAATTAAATTTTGTATCTTCTTAGAGGTTTACATAAGAATGAGGGTACTAAAAAAGTTCATGAAAAGATTTGTATTACCTTTCAACTCTATATTTCCACAAACTTTCTGAAGTACTCACATAAAGTTAAAAGAATCAGAAAGGACTGAGGTGAAAGATATAAACAATTATTGTTGAAAACAGTGAAATTCCCAAGAATGTTCATAGAGAATGAAGAATACTATTTTGTCAAATAAAGCAGGTAGAAAAGAGAATAATACCTAAGGCTAGGGGAGAGACATAACAAAAAAAAGATTCCAACATTATTAGTCAGAATTATTCTAGAGGATCTTAAATTTCAGTCTTCATTATAATCAACAGGAAGAGGACACAGTTCTTCATATGTACATATACTGGAGTTTGTGATACTAGAAAACAAGAAATATCTTTTGACACCAGGTTGGTATTTTTTTTAGGAATAAATATGGCTTCCTGGCATATTTCATCTCCATTATATCTACTATTTATTGACCACTTACCATATGCCAGGCACTAATGCTTTTATGTGCATTTTCCTACTTTTTAGGCAGGTACTATTATTCTAATTTATAAAGAAAATCTTAGAAAAGTTAAGTACTTTACCCACAGCTACACAACTAATCAGTGTAAAAACTGGGATGTGAACTCAGATTACCAATCTTCTAAATCTGTGCTTTTAATCCAACATTCCGAGAGGCAACACCAAGTGAATTCTGATTTTACTAATAAGAATATGGACAGGGCAGAAAGAACTCAATGGTAGAAAGAACACTGGCCCAGGATTTAGAAACCCAGTTTTAGTCTAGGATCTGCCATTTTGAGAACAGTTTAGTTCACTTCACCACTCCAGATCTAAATCTTCCCACCTATAAAATGACAGGGTTGTACTACATCACTAAGATACTAACTTCCTAAATTATGAAGGTAAAATTTTAATCCAAATACAGAAGGGCAACCTAAACAGATAGCAAGGAATTCACATTGTGCCAGGAACTGAGTAAAAGGTACAGTACACACACTACAAGTCCACATCAAACTCAGCAAGAAAGGTATAATCACCACCACAGATAAGGAAACTGAGGCCCAAAGAAGTGAGGTAAATATGCCTATAATCACACCAGCAGTATGTGACAGAGCTATGGTCTAAATCAAGGCCTATACAGTAGGCTCTTTCCTCTATTCCACAATGTCTCCCGATGTGAATCTTATTTTGAATTTTCATCACCTTTCTACCTCTGAGAAGCGAGAATATTCCTGAACCCACTTCATACAATCAGTCAAGATATACAATCAGTCAAGATACTATGGTGCAAGGATTAAGTCTTATGGAGATGAACAGCCCAACATTTACTCCCTCTTTCCCTACTTGTAATGAAATAATTAGGGGCAGCAATGGCCTAGTCTATAAAGAAGGGAACAACATCAAGTGCCTCTTTTCAAGATATTATCACTTAATCTATGTAACTTAGCAATGAAATACGCTGTAATTCAGTGAGTGTCCAAAAATGTACTTAGCATCAGGTATACAATATGAAAAATTCCACTTCCACTTTTATGACCTACACTGAATTATCTCACTAACTGCCTTAGTCCAGAAATTGGTTTGTATGGACAGGGAATCAAGACTCTTTCAAGGGATAGCATAGGTGTATGAAGAGCAGTCTACGTTTTTCCATTCCTTTCATAAGGTAATACTAAGGTACTTCAAAAAGTTCACAGAAAGATTCATGTTATCTTTTATTATATTTTTCCATGAACTTTTTGAAGTACCCTCATATATCTCAATGCAACTGAGCACCTACTATACCTTAAGTGTTACTGGTATTGTCAATAATTATATTCTTATTGTGGAATTTTGGGGTTTTTTTTTTTTTTTTTTTTTTTGGTGTCTGGCTGGTATGGGGAACCAAACCCTTGACTTTGGTGTTGCAAGGCTGTGCTCTAACCAGCTGAGAACGGGCCAGCCCAATAATTATTTTCTAACAGTGATAAGACAACTCTACTTAAATTCAGAATATAAGTACCATAAAAAAGAAAAAAATAAGTTACATTGACTCTATGACTTCATGGATTACAAAAAACCTCATCACATCATTTTAGTCAATGACCATTACAGTGTTCTGTGTTCGTAATTAGTATTAACTGAATGTTTATGGTATGCCAAGCAGTGTGCTTCACCTTCTAGGGGAACTATCTCATTTGTTCATAAGACCTCTGAGGTGGACAAGGCTGTCCCCATACTACAGGTGGAGAAACTGAGACATGCAAGCAATAGTAAGTGGGGAACCAGGAATGAAAGTCAGGAAGTTGACTCCCGAGCCAGCATAACTCTTAGAAACTATGCTTTGATAGGTGAAATGAGGAGGAGGTTTACCCTCTTATCCGGTATCATGTGATTAAGTGGAAAATTCAGCACTCATATCCTGATGGTCCGACCTAATCCAGTGCCATTTCCCATTACACTATGTTATCTCTTTAATATTAAAACTTACATTTGCATACAACTTCCCATTTATAAACAATACTGCATTAAAATTTTGTAACTATCCTGTGAAGGATGCACCATTCGTAATTTACAATTGGTGGAGTGAACACAATAGATTGGGCAATTAGATATGGCATTTTTAGAGAACTGAAATTTTAGTGATGCTTTGAGATATTGCTCAATCCAATTTAAAATTGCAATAATAAAAAAGAAAGCGTCTTCTACGTTTAAGAAGCAAGGGTCAGTTTTAATCCTGGTACGTCTGTGTCTTTGGTCACCTTAGCCTATTTCCAATGCATCCGGGAGCAATCTATGTTTTGAATTGTGCTACAATTTTTGTGGGTATTTTAATTCTCTTTCGAGTATTCGAGTTCCTTACGTGTAGAGACGCGGGTGTTAGCCTACCTCGCATGCAGTAGTCACTCAAATAACTAAAGAACTCACTGAATACAGAGGTTAGACACTGGAGAAACGGCATATACCTATTGTTAGCCCTCTATAAAGTGTAAGGGGTCGATGTTCACTGCTCGGATGCCCCAGGCAGTACGGTCCTAGCCACGAGTCCCTCCTTCCTTTCCGGTTTATAAATGCCGTCTCAATGAATGGGAAAAATTAAAAAATGAAAAAAATAAAGGCGCCCCAGTAAATCAGAGCACAGAACGAAAATGAGCAATAGGCAAGGAGTAAAGTGAAGGGCCTGGAACAGCCGAGGTGTGGGGGTGACAGGAGCAAGGGACGGCCAGGAGCGGGCCGCTCCCTAATCAAAAGAGGGGGTGCGGGAGGGGGTGAGAGAAAAACGATGATTCCCATCGGGTCAGCAACAGCAGTGGAGCTTGATCCCAGCACTGCCCGCACCCTAGCCCCGGCCGGGCCCAAGCGAATCACTCACCCTGATGCCAGGCTACGTAGGGCCGCCCCCAGGGCCGCCGACGTTCGATTCCCCAGTGTTTGGTAACGGAACCAAACCAAACCGGGTCGCCAGGGGTCACCATGGGCTTCCGGTTTCCTGGACGACACCGCCGCTTCTCCAGCGAAGGTAGCCGCTAAGGGTGCACCGCGGAGAGATTCCCATGGCTTTACTTCGGCTGCGCCAGGCCCGGCGCCACCCCGCCGTTCGGAAAGGACGCCGGAGCTTCTGGAAGGAGGACCGAGCCGAGGCAGGAGGGGCCGAGCCGCCGCGGGAGATGGCCCGTTACCCAGCAACACGCGCGCGTGGCCCAGGCCTGCCGGCGCCGGCTGGCCTTGTCAGGATCCGCACGGGCCGGCGACCGCGTTGCGCGCCGTAGAGGGGAAGCGCTGTTGATGGAGGTGCTGGAAGGAATGACGAGCAGCTCAGGGCAGGAAAAGGGGCTGCTGCTCTCCGCCGGCTCCACGCGAAAGCGACTCGAGGAAACCGGAAGTCCGGCCCAAGGGAGCTGGGAGGGCGTTAGCGTAGTCCGACGCGGGGAAGGGGCGAGGCGTACTACGTGTCCCGTGAGCCTCCGCGGCGGGGCAGGGCCGGCCGTGTCTTGGCGACGTGAGGAGGCGGAGGCGGAGTGGAGTTGGGTAAGAGGCGCCGCCACGGCGGTTGGGCTGAGGGCCGCCTTAGGGGGCGCCCTCTAGCGCGTCCTTTCCACCGAGTGTCCACCTGGGGGTCCTGGAGCGAGTGGGGCGTGTGGCTGGCCCTTACGCGTTTACAGCGCTGTCGCCCGGTTGTGGCGGGGAACTGGGAAACGTGTTAGGTCTGTTTTCTGGGCGCATTGCGAGCCTTCAGGGGGTCATTTGAAACACGAACTTGACGAATTGCTCAAGGTCCCATGGTTATTCACATACTAGATAGAACAGGGGTTGCAGCCCATTGTTCAGTTTAAGGAATGAGAGAGGGAGAAGATGGCAAAGCTTTGGGACAGAACCCGGCCTCCCTAGACTTGCCACCACCTTTGGTTATTTCCGCACGACAGTCCTGAGCTGTGGAGGCACAAGTAATTGAATTCCTTACAGTCTTTGGGGGTCGCAGATAGATGGAACCCCCAAAATTCTGGACTATTTCTGGTTAAATGAATACACGAGAGAACAATAATTGGAAATTTATCCTCCCTAACCGCCAGTTAGCAACACTGACGCCCATTGGCACGCGCTAATTTTGTCGGTTGAGGGCTTAAGTATCGTTTGGGTTAGTGTTCTGCTGGGAGGTCTTTCTGCATCACGTCTTAATTTATCAGCCCAACTGTCAGCTCAAGAGAATGGATTCAACTCAAAGGTTTACTTGAAAATATGTTTTTATTGTTGTTATGCCTCTCTTTTCGATTTAGATTTAAGTGAAAATCCACTTAAATGTTATGAACAAAGACCACAATTTAAAGTTTATATGATATTTTGCAAAATATTTTGAAATTGATAATGTAATTGTTTATAAAGGACATCCATTAGCTTCAGTTTATTGTGATGGGGGATGGAGAAGAGCATTGTTTTTAATATTTTGAGCAAGAATCAGTCCTTAACTTTTTTGATTGCATCCTTGACTCACTTCACGAATTTCAATTAAAAAAACGAACCATCAAAAATCAAGAGTTTTGGCCAGTATGGTTTTGAAGCATATTAACAAAATCAGTTGAGCCATCCCAAGTCATTAGAAATAAAGTGACAGTCTAGTTCTCACTTGGGAGGTATAGAAATGGTTTCTTTTTTTGAACCTTTATTCACAATTTTGAAAAGGCAGGGAAATTTATTTTTATCTTTTCCCTCAGGGTAAATAAAGAGAAAATAGCATAGCTCAGTATTTTAAAGTGTATCTGGTGAGAGAATCTACTTTATGTTTCAAAATACACCTTCCGATTATAACTATTTAAACAATGGGTTTATTAACAAAAGTATTTGCTTGACCAGAATGCAAAAGTTTATTATTTTAGTCAAATGAAGCATCTTAGTTTTTGTTTTTGGGATGTGGTAAGCCTACTATATGACAAAATATAATCCAGATATTCATTGAATTTAACAGGAAATGGTCACCCACTTATGAGCATCTGCTTTAATTATTAGAGAATACTTGTCACACAGTTTAGTTATAGTTACATGTCAGTTTTATTTTAATCTTGCTGCAGAGGAAAAGACCTCTGATAAATCACTTAAAAGGTACAGTCTTGGCAGGAAAATTTTATAGAAAAAGAAAAGGATTAGATAATCATTAATAAATTAATAACAGAAAAAAAGAATTTTGGAGATACTAGACTCCTAACTGATAGTCAACTGGTTAGATGGGTGGCTGGTTTTCCAGAGCAAGTCTTAATTCTATTGAAGTTTATGGAAAAGTTGCTTAGGCATTTTTTGAGGAATTCTGTTTTCCAAGAGGGAGTTGTGAATTATATCATCCAAAAAGTTCTCTCTCTCTCTCTCACTCACTCTCACAAAAACACACACACACGCGCGCGCGCGCGCGCCAGCGTATACATACATACGCAAAGGAGGTGGGGAGAAAGACAAGATTGTGAACTCCATCAAGTTCATAACTTCTGTTACGCTGTGTGTGTATCTTAAAGCAGCAGTCTTCACACTGGGCAACACATATCCCTTATGCTTAACCTTGGGAGGTACATGAAGGCTTTCCAAAAGGCTATATAGATACAGATTAACGGTATTCTCACATTGTGAACTTGCATGTTTTCGTGCCCAAAATTGATCTGCCTCAGTGTGCTGAACTAGATACCCTTTTACTTTTTTATTTAGTAATTTTCCCTTTCTTACTCTACAAATAAAGTAATACCTTTAATCTGATCTAAATCTTGACGGTAGGTTTAGAAAGTGAACAACTCTAATGACTAGGTAGTTAATTCTTCTGCAAAATTGGTGATTTCCAGTTGCTTTTGAAAATATTGCAGAAGGACAAAATTGAGTTATCAGCTGATCATTAGAAATAATTTTTGATGGCATACCCATATGTGATTTTTGGTATATAACTTAGGAGTTCAAAAAAAATGATTATTGCTATAACCAGAAATCCTTTCACTCCCAAATATTTGGAATGGAAGAATATAAAATATAAGAATAGAATTAACCTGAACCCTATTTCTTCATCTCTGGGTGCATGACCTAATGGGGAGAGCAGGAAGATCCTCTCCATTTCTTTATGATATACATTTCCAATAAAAGCTTAATTTTTAATATTTTGTAATGATAATAATTTGTGATATATTTGGTATTTGATCCACAGTGCTGTAGTAATCTAATGATAACACAATACTAAGGAACAATTTTAAAACTTAAGTTCTTGGAAATTTTTAATTTTTTTTGTTGCAGGGAAATGTGGTAAGGTGATCAACTTAAAATATTTTCAGACTCTAAAAAATACTGTGTTGGGATAAGCTTATGTGGGGGAAGTGAGAGGGAAATATTAATTCAAGGAGAAAAGGGATGATAATGCAGTCTTTAACTATTAAAGGAGAACTTATTCATATACTTTTCAAAAGGATGGATGACAGCAGATATCAAATTGCTATAGTATTTACATTTCATTTATAAAAGGGGTACAGATAGACTATTGTATAGCAGTTAGCCTTGCTCTGGATATATAATCTATTCTTCATAACTTTTTGACCTGAAATGCTTTGCAGTCAACAGGTGTTAGTTTCTAACAGAACTTTCATTTTTTTCAAAATAAAGCATAAGCCATAATTGTATATACAGTAACTGCTTGCAGTGATTTTCTAGCAGAAACATGTATTGGTGAAGAAAAATTAATGCTTCTGAAAAACCTTTGATGTGAAGATTAAGGAGAAGAAATATAAAAACCACCACCAGAAGAACAGCAACAGAGAACCTAGGATTGGGTTGGTAGATTGTACAGGGAAAGAAGGCCCAGTGGAGGGAATCCTTTAGTTTGTGAGTCCTGGGAGTTATACATTTTTGCTATTTGAGATATGAATACATTCATTTATTTGGCAAATTATTTAGCACCTACCATGTGCCAGACACTATTTTAGGCAAAGTATAAGGAAGTAAAATCTATTAGAGAAATCACATTGACAGACCTATCTGAAATTTAATGACATAACAGGAAATTCCCTTCCACTTATTTTTGCAGACAGTTTCTATATATGCCTATAAAGAAAACAACTTTTTTTTCTGTTTGAAATGGGAAGAGAGGAAGAAATAATTCTATTTTTAGGCTTTCATCTGCATCGTAAAAACCAAGAAGGGAAAGCCAGCTTTTCAGAGAAAAGTCATTTTATCAAATAAACAATAGTGAAAGGATGACATTAAAGTTCAGTAAGATCCTTTTTTATCCTGGTAAGTTATTTATTTATTTATTTATTTTTATTGGTTATGAATATTCATGACATACAAAGCTGATTGCCACCCCTTGTGCCCATGATGTGAGGGCCAGATTCATACTGGCAGCATACCCATTACCACAAATTGCATTTGTACCCCGTGTCCCCACCCAGTTATCCCCAACCTCCCTTTCCTTCCCCCTTCCCCCCACTCCACTTTGTAGCCCAAGGAATGTTTTCTCCCTCTGCAAGTCCAATGCACAATAAGATCTATAGAAGGAAATTAAGCTACATTTTTCAAATGGATTAGGTAGCAAAGGAGAAGGAAATTTTCCAAACCCATTGCACAACTCTTACAATACAAAAGTGAAATTTTTGACTTGGTATGTCAGCTTGACTGTGTGCCATGGGATGCCCAGATATTTAGTTAAACATTATTTCTGGGTGTGACTTTGAGTGTGTTTCTGAGTAAGATTAGCATTTGAATCAGTAGACTGAATAATGGAGATTGCCTTCCCCATTGTGGGTGGGCATTATCCAATCCAATTCATTGAAGGCCTGAATAGAACCAAAAGGTGGAGGAAAGGAAAATTCACTTTCTACCTGAACATTTGAGCTGAGACACCAGTCTTCTCCTGCCCTTGGAATGGAATTTATACCATTGGCTCTCCTGGTTTTCAGGCCTTTGAACTTGGACCGAATTATATTACCAGCTCTCCTGGGTCTCCAGCATGCAGACTGCAGACTGTTGCAGCCTCGTGATCACATATGCCAATTCCTTATATATATAGATACACACACACACACACACACACATATAGTCATATCTCATTTTATTGTGCTTAACCTTACTGTGTGAGAAATGCCCTCACCCGTCCAATGCCAAAGGATGGACACGGAGACATGAGGTATGGCAAAGTGAGACTTTAGTGGCGGCAAGATTGGGTGTCTATTGGACAGGCACATCAGAAACAGTTACATTGAGCAATTTATTCCCTAGCACACAAGTCCCTCCCACAGTTCTTCATTGGCAGAGTACAATGGGGTGTACAATCTTCCTGGGCATCGCCTAAGTTTTATTATTTCCTTATAAGGCATTTATTGTCCCCTTTCCTCTCGA